TACCTGATGAAACTTGGGTGGCCTTCTTTATAATAATCGTCTTTTAACTCTACTCTCTGAAAATTATATAGGTTTAGATATTGTCTTTCTTAGTTGTGATTCGTTAGATAAATTTTACTTGCTCTAATATTAATAATTGCTGTAATATCGATAATATCTTTACGTCAAAATCGGTCAAATAGTTTCTGAGTTATTGCATTTAAAAAGTTGTATAGTTAAAATACGATATCTCAAAAACTGTTATAACGATTTCAGTCAAATTTGGTATTTTGCCATTTAAAATTGCATTTTTTAAAATGATGTAAAAATCTGCGCACATTTTAACTCAAAAATATTTTTAGCTGTTAATAAATAAAATTATTAAAAATAATAAATAAGCATTAAAAATTATTGTTCGAGGAGGATTATCTCTGGACAAACGAATTTTATACAAACACTGTGCGAAAATTTTCGTTGCATTAAAAAACTAGAGATGTGAAATACGCGAGAAATACAATTAACATTGATGTCCAAACTTTCGACCGCTTTCCTAACCACATTTAAACCTAATAGCACCACATTTTCCAGATTGTGGTTACTCGCCCCTCAATTTTGAGGGTCAAGAATCAGAGTCCGTCCGAAGAAAGTTATGTTTATTCAGAGAAAGCATGTTTTTGTGTCTGATTTCATGGTCGTATGTATCGTCTGAACCAGTAATTTACAGTTTCTAAGTTAGGCCTTCGAAACTTTAAGATTGAGTCTTAGTGCGCGAAAATCGGATTTTTTGATCAAAAGTTATTTAAAGTATTCTCCCCCCTTTTTTTACGCTCTGTATACACTTTTTTCTGCTTCCTTTTTGTCAATGATTCTAAAAATGTATTTTAAGGTTGGCAATTACATAAAACCTTCTATATTTGTATATAGATAAAAATGTTTAAAAGTTTTTTTTTTTTTTTTGAAAACAAAAAATGCTTTTTACGATTACATTTCTGTACAATGTACTCTTCTGTATTTTTATACGATGGTGCTGAAAAGATAATCTAAAACGTCTTTTGAATAATTAAATACTTATAATTTGAATTACGACAACTGTTACGAATTACGATGTTAAGAACAATACAATCAAATTAAAGAGACAAAAAAGGAAAGTTCAATTAAGAAAAATTGTCAATTAATTTTTTCCTATAATATTTTGCTACGTATATAATTTTCAGCTAGTACATCTTTTCGGTAATATTCCTCATCATCATCATATCTGGCTAGACAGCCCAGGGTAGGCCAGTGCCTTCCTTTGAATTCGAATCCACTCCTCTCTACTTTTGACACTTGTTCTCCAGTTTTTCTCCTTTAGAGTAAGGAGATCAGTCTCAACTAAATCCAGCCATCTTAGCCTGGGTCTACCTCTTATCCTGTTCGTTAGGGGTTTGTGTAACAGGATTTTTTTTAAATTTGAGTCATCATTCCTTCTGAAAATGTGAGCTGCCCAGTTCATTCGATGTATTTTAATGAATTTCACAATATCTGGCTCTCTGTAGATTTTATACAGTTCAGTATTATATCGTCTTCTCCAGGAATTATTTATTTTTATCCCACCAAGGATGGCCCTCAAAACTTTTCTCTCAAAAATGGCAATTTTATTTTCACCAGCTTGAGTTAGGTTCCAGGTCTCAGAGCCATAGGTAAGTATTGGCCTAATTAATGTTTTATAGAGTAAAAGTTTTGTATTTTTTGATAAAAGAGAGGATTTGAAAAAACGTTTTAAACCATAAAAAGCTTTATTTGAACAAATTAGACGACTCCGAATCTCATTGTCTATGTTATTGTCGGCAGTAACTATTGAACCAAGGTAAGTAAAATTCTGAACAGTCTGAAACCTGTGGGAACCAATCTCCAGATAGGATTCAGTAAAATTTAATTTAGCAAGTACAGGCATGTATTTGGCCTTATCGGTATGGTAATATTCCTATATCCGCTTAATTTGGAGCTATATAATATTATAGATTAACAATTGAGTAGTTTAGATATGAAAACTACGAATGTACTAATAATGTGCTTTAAGAAAAATTAAAAAAAAAGTATTAATTATGCAATCGAGGCAAATTAATTAGTGCTTACGATATTTTAAGTTGCGAAATCGGACAAAAATAACGTAATTTTTCTGAATAAACATACATATTTTTCGAAGAACTTGGATTTTTAGGGATTACGACCAAAATTAGGGATAGCCGTATTCTAGGAAGTAGTTTGGTCAGAAGAGAGGTCCAAAGTTTGTACCCCTTACTGTTAATTTTATTTTTTGTGTATTTGGCCATATCTCAAGAACTTCTTAAGCGAATCGTCTTTGCATACAATTATAAAATTCATTTATCCAAAGACAATTTAAATCAAAAATAACTTTTTGTAAACATTTATTATTTTTTATTATTTTATTTAATAATAGTCGAAAAAATCTGAACCGTAAATTTTTACATCATTTTAAATAATAAAATTTAAAATGACAAAATAGAAAATTTGAGCGAAATCGGTCTAATAGTTCCTGAGAAATCAAATTTTTAAAAAGTCACATTTCTAAAATTTGATTCCTCAAGAACTATTGAACTGATTTCGCTCAAATTTGGTATTTTGCCATGCATGACTGTATTCTTTAAACTATACCTTAAAATTCAAAAATTTCCATTGGATCAATTATTCACCGATCATTAGATCAAAAGTTTTTCACAATAATCTTTTCTTTTCTTTTTTTGCGTACTGTACATGTGCATACTCTTTTTCCTATTTTCATAAGCTTACTATTTCATTTCTTTTTTTCTTTTTGCACTCTCACTTTAAAAAAGCAGTTCACAAACCGAACATCCGAATTGTTGCGTTAAAAGAATAATTGAAATACGAAACTTATGGTAAAACTTATGCATGTTCGGTATCAATTGAATTATCATTCATTAAAAATACTTTCAAAAAGCATAATTTTAAATCTTCAAATTTTACTGTACAATTCATTCTAGAATTTAAAAAAATAAATCAAAGAAAGTAAGTACTACACTTGTGTTCTTATTTGTTATAATTTAGAACTTTCCTTAAATGAAACGATAACGCAAAAATACTCGATTGAACGAATATGAACACCATTTGAATTACAAAATTTAACTTTACAGTAATAGGAACCTTTAATGCATTGAGGTGCTACATCGATATAAATGTACTATAAATATTAAAAAAAGGAGTTTTTAAAAAAATAAAATTTTAATTTCGTGTATTTTTGTTATTTTGTTAAAGAAATAAAAAAGAATCAAAAAAATATTCATTATAACAATTTTTAGAAGTTAGAGATAAAAAAAAGTTTTTTTTAGAAAATTCAAATAAAATGTTTTTCACTAAAAACATGATTTTAAAAATTTCTTACACCAAAGCCATAATTATTACTTCTAAACAGTAATCACAAATAATCTAATCCACAATTTCTATCGCCATATAAATCACAAGGAAATCCTTCTACGAATCACATTTACATTACAAAATGCAACTTTACAAGCGTATAACCCTTTATTGCAATGAGATGTAACAAAGATAAAAAATAAAATGCTTTTAAAAAAATAAAACTTTACCTTCATGTATTATTGTTATTTTGTTTAAAAAATAAAATATTTTTTTGCTTCTTTTTTGACAATTTGAAGAAGTTACAGCTAAAAAGAAATTTTTTTAGAAAATTCGAAAAAATTTTCTGCACTAAAAACGCAATTTTAAGAATCTCTAATTCCAAATATTAAGCCATAATTATTACTTCTAAGCCTTAATCACAAATAGTCTAAACCACAAATCCAATTACTACATAAATCCCTTACGGATGATTTTTGCAATGAAAAATGAATTTTAGAAGTAGGGGGAACTTTAATGCAATAAAAATATTTTTTCAATCGTAAAAAAGCCTTTTTAAAAATATAAGACAGTATTTTTTTGTTATTTTGTTTAAAAATTTTCAACTTTTTTAATGTTTCATTTTTTACAATTTTAAGAGAACAGAGTGAAAAAAAGTTCTAGGAAATAAGAATAAATTTTTTAACACCAAACACATAATTTAAATAACCTCTAATTCCAAAAATCGAAGCATAATTATTACTACGAAACAAAAATGACAAATAGTCTAAATCACAAACCAATAGCTATATAAATCATGAGGAAATCTTTATTCGAATTCCATTTGCATTACAAATTGTAGCTTTACAAGTGTAGGAACCTTTAATACCATGAGATGCAACGTTGGTAAAGATGTGTTTTCAAGAGTAAAAAAAGAGTTTTTAACACTAGAAAGACTGAAACTTAGTATAAATATTGCCCAAAAGCAGTCAAAATGACTGCATTGTAAAAGAATAACTAAGGTGTAAAGAAATTTGTTTAATTAATTTTTAATACTTCTTATATTATTTACAGTTATATTATTTACAGTATAACAAGTTATTAGTAAATCTTAACAATAAAAAAATTTACTTCAGTTGGAAAAAAAATTATTTATGCATTATTATTTGTACATATTTTGCAAATGAAAAAGTAGTCAAAATTACTTCTTTGGGCAATCTAGTGTTAAAAGATATAAAAGTCTACTTTTTTTCTGTATTTTGTCATTTTGTCTAAAAATGAAACGAATAAAATTTAGTGTTTCATTTTTAAGAATTTTAAGAGATTAGAAATGAAAAAATGTTCTTTTCAGAAAACACATTTGTCTACGCTAATCTCTAATTCCAAAAATTAATGCATGATTATTACTGCTAAACAGAAATCACAAATAACCTAAATGAGAAAATTTCCTTTCCATGAGAAAATTCTTAATTAAAAATAAATACTCTTCTTTTTTTAATTTTAGATATCCTGAGAAGAATTTCTTAAAATGAAATAATCATCTAAATTACTAACTTATTTTCATATTAAAAGCCTATCTTTAATATTTTGTTCTCTCTTTGACCATCACAATAAAAATACACACTTAATTGCACTCCCACGAACAAACTCGTATAAAATCAAGAACTCACCTATGACCCCCAGGACCACACATTTTGAACAAACTAAGCAATTAATAATTTTCAAGAACTTCGCGTGTGAGAAAAACCGCTCCAGACAGTAAACTTCTTCCTCTCCGACTTCTCTTGAAAAACAGATTCCGACTCACTAACACTCTGACTTCCACAAAATGTTTCTTCCCCCCCCTTTCCATGGCACTATCTCCAACTTGATACAACAGAGGATGGGGTGGGAGAAAGGGGAGCATAGCCAATAGTGACCGAGAAATTAGGGGTGGGTACATTTACAGAAGCTTTTCCTGCCTGTGTGCTAGGAGGGGAAGCGAAAAAAAGAAGAAAAATGTCATGGCAAGGGCCCATATTTGTTTGTTTGTTATGGGGTTTAGGTGAAAGTTGAATGCATTCGATTGTTTACACAGGTTCGGTAAATAAACATAAAATTGAACTTGATTCGCGACTCCTAATTATTTTATTTTTCTAAAAAAAAAAGTTTTAGAACATAATTAAATAAATGTCAGATAAAATATATATGATATTCCATAACAGCAGCCCTTAATATATATATTTAGAAAGCCTATCAAAATGAGATCAAAAAAGCGCACACATTTGTATTCGCGATATTCCATAATATCAGCTCTTAATGGATATTTTTAGAATCCCTGTCAACATGAGATCAAAAAGTATATACATTAGGGTTCGCAAAGTAGTTGAGGAAATAACGAAATCGCTGCCAATATATAATGAATCGCAACAGGATGTCAGTGGTAATGATGCATAAAAATATTTGCAGGGTGTTCCCTAATGGCAGTCTTTAATGGATATCTATAGAAACCCTATCAAAATGAGATAATAAAAAAAGTATACATATTAGGATTCGCAAAGTAATTGAGGAAAAAAAGGAATCGCCGCCAATATATAATGAATCGCAACAGGATGTCAGTGGTAATGATGCATAAAAATATATGCAGGGTGTTCCCTAATGGCAGTCTTTAATGGATATCTATAGAAATCCTATCAAAATGAGATAATAAAAGAAAGTATACATATTAGGATTCGCAAAGTAATTGAGGAAAAAAAGGAATCGCAGCCAATATATAATGAATCGCACCTGATGTCGGTGGTAATAAAACGTAATACAGGATATTCCATAATGGCAGCCCTTAATGGATATTTTTGGAATCCCTATCAAAATGAGATCAAAAAAGTATACATTAGAATTCGCAAAGTAGTTAAAGAAAAAACAAAATTGCCTCCAAAATATGATAAATCACAACCATTATTGATGGTAATGAAAACATTAAAAGCAGTTTGATTGTAGAAGAAAACAGAAAGGAGCTGAAAAGCGCTTATTTGCAACACCTTTGAATTTTATCAGACAACCAAACTGATTATGATGCTCACCACACCTTTCTTTCCTCACTAATGATTCGATGGGTTTCGATAGCATTTTCGACCTCGCTGAAACAGTAATTTGAATCTATGCTTTTTTCCCCTTCATTTTTGGCAAGGATTCTAAAATTATACGTTAATGAAGTTGATTTTGGGACATCCTGTACAACCCCGAGGAGTACATATTTTGTACGTTCGAGAATCTTTAAGGTACATAAATTTCTGAAAATTCGCTTTTATTAAGGCAACAAAGATATTATTAAAAACAATTCAGCCGAAATAGTTCTGGAACTAAAGGGCAATTGAGGAAGCGTGGTTAGGAAACCGGGTATTCCTTACCGCCATTTCTTCTTCTTCAATGACAATCTGGTGTGATTCATGACAAGAACAGATTTTCATCTTGACCTAACTGATGCCCTTGTTTTAATGTTCTTAATTTTAAGATCTTTTTCAAGGCAATCAATATGCCGTAGTTTTGGTTTTCCTTCAGCACGTCTACCTTACGGTTTTGCCATAAAAGCCTTTATAATATTTATGTTTCCTTCCATTCTGACGAGTTGTTCTGCCCACTTTAATCTTAATATTTCAAAGAATTTCATTCCATCTGATTCTTTACAGCTCTTATACAGTTTATGAATTCGTTTTTTAGGCCAAATACCATGATTTCGTACTACTTTTAGAATAAGAAGTATTTTCCTTTCCAAAATGGTCAGTATTTTCTCCTCTTTTTGAGTTAGTTTCCATGTTTTTGAAGCATAAGTTAGTAAAAGCCGAATTAAGCATTTATAAAGCATGAACTTACTGATATGATCCAATCTCAAACCACAAAAACTTTTATTCGATTCAAGCTATCGTCTTTTACTATCGGGTGTAAATTCTGGTTGTGTGGTACATGCATGTACCAGCATTTTCTTCGGATAATGACAAAGGATGAACCCAAAGACCATTGCCAGTAGCTTATTATTAAATAGCTGTGGTGCGACACTAACAATCATGTCATTATGTCTATTTGATTAAAAATTCTTATTGGAGGTTATTTTTAACAGCGCGTGTACTGTGGCTTATTTGACGTCAAGTGACGTCAGGTAAATCGCAACAATTAATAATTCACGAGCCAATCAGGTTCAACACACAGCGTGACGTCGCTTACAGGTATCAAAGTAAATCTGATTTAAATCACATGGTTAGACATAATCACTTTACTTCTTCTCGAGTTACAAGTACCCAGTTGCTTCGTTAGATATTTTTTGAATCATGGAGGACTATGATGATAATAGTGCTATCCTTCAATATCAAATTGGAACAACTCTCTTCAAAAAAGTTATGAAGTTTATACACCCCCATGCATGGCAGCTAATAAAGCTGAGTTAGGGCTCACTTTTTGTGCCTACTAATGCCCCAAAACAATAGGATTTATTTATTACCCGATCCGAAACTCAAGTTCAAGATAAAAATAGAGCTAAAACTAGACAGCAAAAAAATAATTAATTAACAAAAAATGCCAGATGAAATATGTTGAGATAAATGATTTACGAACGCTTCTTGATTTTGTTCACCTAATAATTTTTTTTATACTTAATTACTTACCGGATTTTTATATATCTGTTTAATTTAAAAGTAATAAAGTAGCGAACAACTTAATTATGACCTCAAATATGCAAGCAGAGCCCGTCTCGTCAAGAACAGCAAATTCTTCTGATAGCTCAACTAAATGAGAAAAGTGCCTATTAAGAAATAAACCTAGAAAGACAGAGAACTGGAAATCGCGTACAGCATATAGTTGAACTATAACTATAGTAGTTGGAAAAATATTTTTTCAAAAGTCACATAACCTGTCTGCATCACTTGCAATTAAAGAAACGAGTTTTGGGAAACCGAGACTTTACCGAAACATTTTAGAACAGTCAAATTACGTAAATGTTACATTTCATCACATACCTTTATTTAAATAAAAAAGAATTAAGAGTATTTCCCTTAAACCATGCTACTTGTGGAGGAAATATAAAAAATAAGAAGCATGCTTTTAACTGACTGTTCTATGAGTCAAATGATTAATTACAAACTGATTTAACTTTATTTATCTAAAAATAAAAGGGAGAGGAAACTTTTTATGGTTAATACAAAAAGCAGGAATAGAGAATTGGAAGTAGAGAATTAAAAATTTGATAGGAAAGGCATCAAATTGTTATTAGTTCTACAAGAAAGAGGAAGCTATACTACAACAAAAGTATGTCGTTATTTCTAATAACGTCTGAACAAGCCAAGCTCGCCAGCCATTGGCCTTATGTAAATTAAGTGCGCCTTTCTTTTGACAAGAGACCATCGCAACGGTGAAAGTTCTTAGCTCAGAACCCCACGGATAGACGGCAGCACATTATATTCCTGATGCCACTTTCTCAATTTAGACATAGATTTAAAGGGGAAGAAAATTCTCTCTAAATTCTGTATCTATGGTACTTTTCAGACACCAGCCACAGAGCTTTCGATTCGACAGATTTTGCGAGCACGTATATCGTATGTACTCGGTGGATCTTAGCGAAGTCTGGATTAGAAGCACAATCTCTCCAGACCGGAGTCCGATTTTCGAACCACTGAGCAACCACGGCCTCTAAGAAAAGCATTGTCTTGATTTTTCATAACTTAAAAGACTCCTGTTTTGAAGTGATTGGCTTAGGCAAATTTACTATTATTTTTATTTTTTTTAAATTGATTTATAATCTTTATTGAATTAAATAAAAAAAATCATATTATAAATTATTAATGATTATAAATCTGGCAATCACGGACTAAGAGAAATCCTTTTTGGGAAACTGTGTTTCACTTACATAAGTAATTTACATTTAGAAGAAAAATGAGTTCATGTAAACCTAGAGTAAACAATAAAGATTCAAATGATGGAATAAACATTTTAAAAATATCAATATGCAAACTAATTATTTGAAGATTTCTTTCCCACTGCATAACCTTGGGCAATTTGCCATAATTTCATTGCATTTTATAATTTTGATGTTTACTCTAGATTAGAACCGAACTCGCTTTTCACTATATTTTAAATTATTAATGTGCTATATGAAACACAATTTGCCTTGCAGGATTTCTCCCACAATACACAGTATCCTTTGAAGCGCTTCATATGCTTGCACTTGATGTAACGTATGGTATTCGTAAAGTGAATAGTCTAATATGTTTTTAAAGAGCTGCGACTTTAATTAGGATATAAAATATTATATTATTGTTAATAGTTGCTGTGTTATTATTCTTTTTTCATGTATATAACATGGAAAACTTCTATTAGTAGATACTTTGTAAATTAATAAACTTTAACCGTTTGAAGCATATAGGACACTGATGTCATGTCCATTTTATATACTTTTTTCAGACGCTCCAATTATAAGCAAAAATATTTTTTAATATTTTTTTATAATAAAAACCAGTCTAATAGTTACTGAAAAAATCTGTTAGATTATCGAAATTATATTTGTACTAAAATATAAAATGCCAATAAAGTAGTTAGAATTTTTTTTCCCACTCATATTCAAAAATTTATCAGTAATTGATTATAGAAATTTCAAAGAAGAATAATTGTTTCACTCAGATTAAAATAACTGCAAATAAGTGCAAATTTGAAAAATGTTCGGAAGGGTTACCTTTAAAGCAGAAAAAGACACCGGTGTTTTATGCTGTATTTCATAACCATAAATTATTAAAATGCTAATTATAATATTTTTCCTTATTTTCAACTAAATTGATACAAAATAATAAAAAAAGGATGAAAAATATA